AAAACTGCAGAAATTTCAGACCGATTTCAAGCTGATTATGTGCGGTTCATTGCACCCCAAGAGCACGGAGCTGCGTCCATCCATAAAGGCTTCACTTTTTTCGGTGGTAGGCCTCATCCCCCCCTCACCACAGAGAACAAAAGATCAGCAGAGAAATGCAGGACAAGTTGGGGGGCAACATTGCAAGACAAAAGAAAAACAGAGCGAAAACTAGGGAAGGAGAAACAAAAATAAATCATCGATAGCACACACAGTCTTCATCGGGGTACATGCAAGAGTTTAGCAGAGCGGACTGAGAGAGGAAAGAACCAAGAGAAGAAGGTGAGGACCACATGAACAAGGACAGGAGAGATTAAAGAAGAGTCAGATGAACAAGTTTACCAAATTACCAATGCATCTTGGACCTTAACCAAGTCTGGATGGGGTCATTGACTCCATCCACAGCTCTCGACTGACAACAGAGTCTCAACACGTGAGAAAAGAACTGTTGGAGTGAAACACATAAACCCTAAACCAGAAGACAAAAAGACTTACTTAAAGATTGAAAGGTTTAGCAGAGCTGACAAATGACAGTACTTCTGAGAAACCCTAAACCAGAAGAGCAGGAAAAGGTCATGGAGGGCAGAAAGAAAGGAGTTCCAGCCAATCCAATCTTAGTTAGTCGGCTAGTTGAATTACCAATTGAACATAACAACAACAAGGTGTAGCACAGTCTGGTAGGGCATCTGTTTCTTTTTTTTTTTTTTCTTTTTTTTTTTTTTTGAGTAGGCATCTGTTTTGGGTACACAGAGAGAGAGAAGGGCATAGGTTCGAATCCGGTCACCTTGAGTCAAAATCAGAGTTAAAAAAAAATGACATGAAAATCAATCGTCCATGACAAACAGTTGGTAGCATTTTACTAGCATCAATACGGAGCCAGGACCATCATAAGAACCTGTTTTTTTTTCTTTTTTTTTTTCCCCCTTTTTTAAACAAGTAACCACATCATAAGAACCTGTTTATTATTTTTTATTTTTTTTCCCCTTTTTTAAACAAGTAACCAGAAGATCAGGAAAGAGCATGAAGGGTAATAATCGTACAACAAATCTCTATACACACTTACAAAATGCTCTACCCACACGTTTAGCAGCAACACGCTCTACACACACCGCCATCGCCCGAGGTTGGCATCATGACCATGGTATATACCGCAGGTGGCTTTCACTTTGACAATGGTTTAATCGGTTTCCTACATTATGGAAGCAGCTCCACTGATGAGCATCATCAACATATTCCAAGTCCGATCTCTTGCCTTATTATTGCCTCCTCCCAGCAAGCAACTCGTAAAGAAAAGATAGACCAGCAGAATCAACATTTTTTTGTTCTTATCTGATCACATACATAGATTGATTCCCTGCTTTATGGCAGCAGCTTCCCCTGATGAGCATCATCAACATCTTCCTAGTCTGATCGTTTTTCTTACCTGATTTTTATTGCCTCCTCCCAGCCACTCGTAAAGAAGATAGAGCAGCATCAACATTTTGCCTTATCCGATCATCCATAGATTGCTTCAAATTAGGGATGCTGAAAGGATTGCCAGTAATCATTTCATACAGCCTGATGTACCTGAAGGAGAGCTCTGTGACTAACTCCTTGGGTGCATCTGGAAGCGCCACGTCATTGTACGGATCGCAGTTGTTCTTAAACCACAAGCGCAGGAATTCTTTGTCAATGCTCTCGGGTTCGAGTCCAGCTGCGTGCCTCTCAGCATAGCTGTTTGCTATCCAATAGCGGCTTGAGTCTGGAGTATGGATCTCATCTAGCAGCATGATTGTTCCATCTGGAGCCCTTCCAAATTCATACTTAGTGTCGACCAAGAGCAGTCCATTTGCGGCAGCAACTTCTTGTCCATAGGCAAAGAGAGACAGAGCTGTGCTTTGCAGGTACTCCACATCCTCCCTTGTCATCAATCCCTTCTCGACGATCTCCTCTGGAGATAACGGAACGTCATGATCTGCAGCCTTGGTCGTCGGCGTGAGCATGTTCTTTTCCAGCCTGTCATTCTTTACTAATCCTTCTGGCAGCAAATTGCCGCAATACTCCCTCTTCCCAGAGTTATATACAGTCCACAGAGACGTGCTTGTTGTCCCAGTTATGTACCCACGCACCACGAACTCGACGGGAAAAACTGCGCACTTCTTGAAAATGGTCACATTTGGATCAGGCCTGCATAATGCTGCGTTAGGCACAATGTGTCTCGTCTTGTCGAACCACCACCCACTCGTCTCGTTCAGCACCTGACCCTTAAACGGCACAGAAGCTAGGACTCTGTCAAATGCACTCTGTCTATCCGTTGTCACGACAATTAACAGCTCTCCGGCGTCATACATATCTCGCACTTTCCCTTCTTTCTTCGACGACGAGATAGCAGGAATCGTCAGATCGAGAGAAGTGGACGTCAAGCAGCTCGAAAGACATTCGACTATGGCGTTCCGGATCTGCAACTGGCGGTTCGTGACGGCATCGTCGTTGTCGTTGTCGTCACCATCACCATCGTTCGTCTCAGTGGCTATGGCGGCGGCGGCGATGGATCTTCCTCCCTCCGAAGTGGAAGCAACTGACATGTCTGAGTTGGAACCCGACAGTTGGCCATCCGCCATCGCTGCCCCCCGTAGCTGCCACCTTCTTCCTCCTCCTATTACCTTGACTCGCGTTGGCGTTGGCGCGCCACCGAAAACATGTCTGAGTACGAGATCCGCAAAATCCGATTTCCGATAAATTCTCCCTTTCTCTCTCTGCTCCTTCTTCAAAATGGAGAACACTGGACGGTCAACAGGCAGAAGAACACTTTTCGAAACGGCTGCTGCTGCTGCTGCTGCTGATGATGATGATGATGATGATGAAGACAATGATGATGACGATGATAATGATGATGATGCCCGAAACGCCCCAGCAATGGGACCGCAGCTCCGCGCGGAGGATGAAGTTTCCTTCGCAATCGCGTTCTGTAGATCGCTAGACTGAGTACCGTTAGAACGCCACGTACACAGCGAGGATAAGGCCACGTGTCTTTCCCATGCGCACGTGGACATCCCCATCGCCATGAATGTGAGGGGTGGTGATGGTAATTCCTCTCAAAACTGTTAGACCCGTTTAGTCTCTCTCACACACACAGTTCCCCTCAACACTGTTAGCCGCCGTTCTCTCTCTCTCTCTCTCTCTCTCTCTCTCTCTCTCTCTCTCTCACATCATCCACGCTGTAAATTGTTTTTTTTTTACTTTCAGTCACGCCGTAATTTCCGAAGAACATGGACAGACAGTCATTCTCTCCGCGAGTGCGGCTCCTTTTCGTTTACGTTGTATCTCAATAGATGCTCTTTCCAGACCATAGATTACTCCAGATCTACGGTCGGCTTTGTCTCTCTTTCTCCATTGCCGCTCTTCTATCCGTTAGGAGGCCACGGTCGACTTCAGGCACGTCGATTTCACCTCAATCACATCCCGCCCCTTCAGTTTCATCAGATCAAAAGTTCCCTACCTACGTATCCAGGGTGTGGTTCCACTAGCAGCGCGGGCCAGGTCCCAGTACCGGCGTTGAGTGTCCTCAATCTGGACGTGATTGTGGAGACGTGCAGCGGTTCAGGAAACTCGCCGCTATTTTCTGCACATCTCCTTCAAAAAATCCATCCACTAGCAGCGCGGGCTAGGTCCCAGTACCGGCGTTGAGTTTCCTCAATCTGGACGTGATTGTGGAGACGTGCGGCGGTTGAGGAAACTCAACGCTATTTTCTGCACATCCAGATTCGAGCATTGAGGAAACTCAACGCTGCTACCGGTAGTGGGGGTTGGCCCAGTGACAGATTATCAGCCGGGGGGTCTGCTATCGAGTAAACAGACGGACCTTTTGGCCTGAAGTTGTCGGTCTATTTTTGGTAATTGTTTATTTAAGGATTTTCTCGGCCTGAAGAATGTTATGATGGGTTCGAACTCTCGACGAGTGTTTCCCATTTCTCGATTTATGTGTGTTATCCTTGCCCGCAGCGGCCATGCTAATCTTCTCTGTATGTCCCGAAGGACGACAAGTGTTTCCTAACTTAGTAGTGTAGTAGTGTATCGAAGTAGTACGATTTGAACTCTTGCTGGCTGGTTCTTGGAGAAGTAATTGCTTGATGGGTTTCGAACTAGGTAATGCCCTGTGGAAAATGTAGCGTAGTTTTTTCGATTTTTGGCTGGTTCGTATCTCGAAGGCTGGTTCGTACCTTGAAGCGATGTCGAGTACGCGGCAAGTTCGCTGTTTTCTTCTGTCGGCAGTAGCTTTCTTTGGGGCTCGTTCGACAATCCTCGGGCCGTCCTCGGGCCCCGAGGACGATTCCTTGGAGTCGCCCGAGGAAATTCCCGCCTTCGTTCCACTCATTCTCGGAGTCATCCCCCGAGGACGATTCCTCGCGGCTCCCGCGGCCAGATTTATATATCCACAAGCGGACGCGGGGGTTCGGGCGAGGGTGGTCCAGCGAGTTGTGTCCGTGCGGACAGCGTTGGTCCACCTCTGTTGGCCGTAGCGAATTCAAATCACGGCGGGAAACCAAAAACAAAACAAAACAAAAAACAGAAAAGGGGCCATTGGAAATGGCGCGCATGGGCACAGTTCAAAATTCGAAATTCGAAATCTTGTTGTGCGATTGGCGGCGCGTGGTGGACATACGTTCCACACCCGATTGCATCAGCGTCTGCCGTTCGGGGCGTTCGCATAAGTGACGATGGTGGCCAGCGGTTGTCGTCGAAGAGTACGCAGGTCTACGGTTGCGCACAACCGGAGACGACATCGACTTCTCACCATCGTCGCGGGCACACGACCGTCGTCAGTGCGTGGCGTCGAAGGTTGTCTGCAGAGGCGGCGCTGTGTTCTTCCACGTGGCGGCGTTTGTGCAGTCGTGTGTAGTTATTGACGTGATGTCCTTGGAAGCGGCGTCGGGGATGGATATTGACGGCGAGGTCGGGCGTGACGGTTTGTCGACGACAGAGAGGACGGTTGTCGCTGCGGCGGTGAATGTCGTCCTTTTCCGTTGCCAAATGGCGAGCAGAGAGGGGAAGTTCAAAGCGGTCGTTCGTGCACGCCGCAAGCTGTCGGCGCTGCCGACGAGTGGCCAGTGCTTGGACGTCGGTGCCATTTCCGACGCGGTGTTGCAGGTCTGCTACGTGATGGGGTGCGGCGCGTTTCCACGAGCGACTCCAAGGTGGTGGATGAAGCGGCGGACGGGAGGTACGTGGGAGGATCTGCGGCAATGTGATGATGCGACAAATGAGTACTTCAAGGACAAGCTTCGAATGTCGCCGCGTGTTTTCCGCGAGATCGCAGAGACTCGTTCCCCACTCCTGCAACGTCGTGTGACGTTCTACAGGGTGCCCTTGCAGCCGGACCACATCATCGCCTACGCTCTGTATATGTGGGTGACGGGGGAGACATACGACAGCGGGACGTGTAGCTTCGGCATTGGCAGGTCTTCCGGCATCACGGCGGTGCGGGACGTCACTGCGGCATTGCTTACTGCGTACCCTGATAAGATATCCTGGGCCACAGGTTTGCAGAAGGCGGTCGTCTTGCGTGCGTTCGCAGACAAGGGTTTTCCAAACTGCCATGGGTGCATCGACTGCACCCACATCTACATCGACAAGCCCGCCAACGCCAACGGGGAGGACTACTGCGACAGGAAACGTCGATTCTCCGTGCAGGCGCAGGTGGTCGTCGACATGAACTTGCGTGTGTTGGACGTCTTCGTCGGTTACCCGGCAGTGTGCATGACATGAGGATGTTGAACCTGTCCAGTTTGTGGGCGCGCGCGGAGGAAGGACAACTTTTCACTGGGCCGCCTGTGATGCTGCCTTTCGGTGTGCGGACTAATGGCTACTTGCTCGGCGATAACGGTTATCCCCAATTGGAATGGATTGTCGTCCCTTACGGCGGTCTCGCGCAGCACCCGTCGGAGGCACGGTTCGACAACAAACAGAAGACGGCTAGGGGAGCAGTGGAAAGAGCGTTTGGTAGACTGAAGGGGATGTGGAGGTTGTTCCTCCGCACCCACAAGTGCAACATGGAGACCTTGCCACAACAATTTGTCGCCGTCTGCATCCTCCACAACATACTCATCGACGCAGGCGTCCCGTTTGACGACAATCTGCTGTGGGAGGTGGGTCCGGACAGCATGCGTCGTAAAGTCGATCTTGGAATGCATCAGCCACTGAGGCCGGTGTGCATGGAGTCATCAACGGGGGATACGCTGATATTAAGGGTGGCGGAGCGGATGAGTGCGCACTAAGGATGGCCGTGCGTGCAGGCGGAGACCGCACTGTGACCTTGATGAGGCGGAAGAACGGAGCTCTGTGAAGCAGGGAAGCATCGAAGGGACGCTGCGGCGGGAAGGAAGGGGAGGTCCGCTTCCCACATGCACTGGCGATTTCGTGTCTTCACGATGATGATGCCCTCAAGTCTGCTGCCGTCGGGATGTGCTATATTATTGTCGTCAGGCGCATTGTGCATCATCCCGGTCTAACCCATGTCGCCGTCCGTCAGAGGGGTAATCTTCCGTTTTGTGGCGCAATAGTCGACCCGTGGTAGCGTCGTTCTGGCGAGAAGTGCATGACGTGTCTCCCGTGGGCAGTGCGCGTAGGTGTCTTCGTGTGTGTGGTGACTAGTTCTGGTTTTTGGGGCTCGTTATATTTTTTTGTTTCACTTGTTCTGTGCTGAACACTGGGTGCGGTTACACTCAGTGTTGGGTGCGCTATTGTAATCGGTGGTGGTGGATGTCGTCGTTGGCGGAGTCCGCGTGGCGCGGATTGTGATGACGGGGGGGGGGTGGAGATCATCCATCTGGTTGCGAAATGGAAATGCGTTTGCCTTGAAGGGCTTTTCCCCTTTTGACGGCGGAGTATTCTTTGCTTATATTGGTGTGCGCAGAATTGCGTTCCTTCATCTTTTCTTTCGTTTTTGTGTTCGGGGGAACTGTGATTGCATGCGTTTGCAATGGTGCCCCATAGTTGTTTTGTACGTGGTTCAGAAGAATGTCTATCACTTTGTCTGCATCGACCTATACCATTCCCAATTTTATGCACGGCGGAGCTTTCATGTGAAAGGAAGTTGGGTCTGGGTATAGGGCCAAAAAGCCCAGTTGAACCAGGCCAGTAGTTGGTTCCTTGCGAAGTTCTGCTTGGCGTATCCTGAGCTGTCGAATTTGCGTCGTGCTAAGCAGCGCAAAATACTGCGCTAAGAAGCAACGGAGAAGGAAATGTCGGGAGAATCAAGAAAGAAGAGGAGAGAGAGAAGAAAAGAAAGGTAGGAAAGAGAAAACGAAGGAAGGAATGAGGCTGATGAGAAAGAGAGCGGTAGGCAGTGGTGGAGGCGAGTGAGAGGGTGACAGGCAAAAGGGAGGTGCGTGAATCTAACCGAAAGTCATACCAGATACGCGAAGACGAAGGAGACGGGGAAATGATGAGGGGGAAGAAGGTGCTTCACGCCCGTTCCTCGATGGAAACAGGCGAGTGAAGATTCGTTTCCAACGTTTTAGCCTCGAGCAAATCTATTGGTGAGGTCAGAATGGTGGGGGAAGGTGTGTATAAGGTGATAGCGGAGAATGTGACTGCGCGGAGGGTGTCGGGAAGAAGAGTGAACGAGATTAAAAATTAGTTTATTTCGTCGTTCCTTGGCCGTTTTTGACGAACAAGGATGCTAAACGGGGGGTTTGGATCATTCTGAACGCATTCGTCACGTCAGAATTGGGATCTGGGAAGAGGCTGGTCCGGTTCAACTAGCAGGTGCTGCGCGGTTAAAATATGACAATGTATCTTCCCAATTTATTGGGAAGGTTCATTCTCATTTTATCTAATTGAGAGGGGTAGTGAGCACAACGCGTCTCCATTCATTGCCATTACCATCATCCGATCATCAAGGAGGCCTTCTTATTCGTAAGGGAGGTAGTCTGCTCCGTAGTAGGTGAGGTGGCAGCATTCAAGATCAACTTGGTGTTTGCGGTCTTCATGGTAATAAGTCGACTTACCATCATCCGATCATCAAGGAGACCTTCTTCTTCGTAAGGGAGGTAGTCTGCTCTGTAGTAGGTGAGGTGGCAGCATTCAAGATCAGCTTGGTGTTCGCGGTCTTCATGGTAATAAGTCGACTTCGCCATTTCAACCGATCTCGTAATATTCAACAACGAGTGCCTGCGGTGATGCGCGCAAGAGGGTGAGGGGGGATGCACCGGATTGAAAGGAGAAGGTAAACAAAAGCGGGTCTTATCGAATCTCTCGCTGCTACATCGGTGGACAGCCATCCCCTCCTCTTATGAATACTGTCATCGTTCCACCATATTTGTCGTCATTACCCTGATCCTACCATCGCTCCCATAGCCATCATGATTCTGATCTTCGCTACCGTAGTTGAAGTCGAAGCTCAAAAACCAGGTGGTTGCTTCCTTCATACAAAAGGTGAGGTAAAAGCATGAATCTGGCCTGGTCGAAGTGTCGGCCAGATACATAGGCCGGAGAAGAGGGGAACTAGCCGCAAGAAGTAGGGGCGCGCGCAAGAGGGTGAGGGGGAAGCACTTACCTTAGAAGAACTGGCGGTGCTGGTCACTACTGGATCATTCCGAAGACGAGCTGCTGTGCAAAACTGTTTGCTATACGGATTGACGACGCATCTGACTGAATTCTAGCGGAAGGTTCACTCCTTTTTTTTGCATATTCGGGGGGGTGTGGGGCATTAACACAGTCAAGTATGTCAGTTGTCGCCGTTATATGCTTTTCCATTAGATCACAGTCCTTGCCTTCATGTTGCTCATAGTCGGGACTTCGGTCGTATCGCCTGGTGGTGTGGTGAGCGTTGTTTATCAGGCATGGTCTGCTGATTGGGATGCTAACTAGTGGAGAGACGTTCGAAAAGGCCGTGTATTTACCAAGTCTGTTGTTGTAAATGTGTTATTGAGCTGCCTGCTTATTTTCATGCCCGCTGTCATCCTAGTGGCCATAATACCGAGGTTGAATACTCAAGTAGTTGAACAAGGTCTACTAAGTCGTGACTTCAGATGCTATTGGTAGGGAGTGGTGTTTTGGGCTGTTGAGGCTCAGCACCAGCACCGCCACTGTGGGCTCAGACGGTGATGGTGTGTGATCAGTAAATAACAGGTTACTGCTACTTGCTAAAGGGCAAGGCTGCTACTGTTCTCATCAAAAGGTTGAAACGAGATAAAGCAATGTTATATTCTGAGCTATGACACTCATTGACCGTTTTCAGCAGGCTTTTAATGTTGCTGTATTACTGAAAATTGCCTTTTCACGCTACAAGTCTTTCCTGGCTACGCTATGTCGCTTGCTGTGATAACTTGCGGCTGCTGTTTGCCAATTGCTGTTGAGAAAGCAGGGCCTTTTCCATCCTTCAGCATTTGAGAGCCTTGTGCTAGAGGCGTCAGGAAGGGTCATCACTGAGAATCAGTGTGAACAGTTTGTAGGGCACATACCTGTGCATGGTGACAGTCTGCGCGGTTGCCATATAGACATACTTTCGGTTGTCACTGCTGATGTCCACGGCGGTTTCAAGCGGACGAGTGACACAAATAAGCGTCACTGTCAGGGTAGGTGTTTTGGGTGTCAGTTGCTGCGGTATCTTTGAGCACTGTTGCTATGTACTGGTGCAGGGGTTGCTAATCGTCGGGATGTGCCGCTGGTGTTCTGCGGAGTACTGCAACTGTTGATCCTCGGGCCACTTGTTGCAACAAGCTGGAGACTTGCTGTTGGACTGTGCATACACTTACAGTCGGAGAGGAAGATGCAGCAGATCAACAACAGACAGGGGATTTACTCGTTGGGCTGTGCGTTGCTCACACAGTTGAAGGAGCAGCAACAGACCAACAACAGACAAAGGCTTACCTGTTGAACTACCAGCGACAGACTGAAGACTTACCTATTGGACTGTGTATTGCCCACAGCCAGAGGGAGTAGGTCGAGGCCAGCAGCGGACAAGAGGCTTACCTGTTGAACTGTTAGCGGCAGACTAAGGACTTACCTAGTGGGTTGTGTATTGCTCACACAAGAGGCCAGCCACTGGAGAAGGTTTGCCTGCTGCTGTCAAAACGAGAGCATTTACCTCTGTGTAGAGGCTGACATTGATGAACAATTATTGTTGTGTATCGCTGCATATTGATGCGTCTATACACGCATTCGAATAGTGCACGAGGTTGTGTACTATACGGACACAACCTTGTTGGGCCGCGTGACTACAGTTCAGTCAGGGGTGTGGCACTGAGGCTCCACGGGGTTGATCAGGCTCTGCAACGGGAATACTTCTGCAACTTGGAGGTCTGTCAGGGGGCAATCCACTCTGTGTTTGGTGGTGGTCCGGCCAAGCTACTGCGTTGTATTTGGCCGCAATTGCGGGGCCCTCAGGAGTTGAAGGCATCAAGGCCCTCTCGTGTGAGTTGAGTTGGCCCCCTCTCGTATCTCGAGCGTCTGACCTTTCTTCTTCTTTCCTTCTCAATCTTAGTCTAGTCTATGTTTGGAGAGGAAGGCGGCATGCGGGATTGCAACCCGTAGGACCGCATCAAGGCCTTTGCGGGAGGTTGACCCACCGATTGCGGGAGCTCTGCCGAAGCCCAGGCGGGACTCTGGAGGCAGGGAACTCAGAGGTAGGCCGACACTATACCATTAGAATCCTAATAAACCACTCTCTATATGAACCCGGTGTTCGGTCTGTTTGACTTTGACTTGTGTATATGTTTGTCTTCTTTTTCAGGACTCTAACTGAATCAGAAAGGGAATTTACTATGCATATTAAGTCATCTGCCTGTGGTAAAAATCACGATGTTTGCATGTGATGATATGAACTGGGGCTAGAAGTGAGGTCCTCCAGACTGATCCAATCGCCTTGCTGTTTTGCCTAAGACATTGAACTGGGGCTGGAAATGAGGTCCTCCAGACTGATCCGGTCGCCTTGCTGTTTTGC